AAAAAAAAAAAAACTCTAAAAAAAAAAATAGTAAAAAGAAAGGTAGATCCATTTTTCAATTGCTTTGGCAGCCTCTCAAGAGAGAGAGGTAGTATGCAGACATCGAGGAATGCCAAGGCTAATTAATCAACATCCAATAATAACAGCATAACGTAACGTACTAGCCAGCTGGCCAACAACCTTCTAACTCAAATGAAGTCACTTTGCTCCAGATAATGTGATGGCCATGACATCTTTGTCTCTAACCTGGAGGCTTCCTGAGGTAGTCTGGATTTCCAAAAATCACTGAGAGGCTACATAACAAAGAACTGTATAGGACTACCATCCATGTTTATTTATTATACCTTTTATTTCTTTTCTTAAATTTTTACCAGAAGGTATATGTGCTTGGGAGAGAGACGGAGAAAGAGGCAATGTGAGAGAACATCCCCCACGAGGATAGTCACACCACAATCCCATCTCCATTTCTTTCTCTTTTCAGGACTTTGGGTATGCAGGCACAATGCCCAGTGTGTTCTTCAAGCTCTCAAGCTGCCAGGTCTGAGACTCGACCACGCAGTTAGCCATGTGGGATCCAGCTGCCTTAACTACCATGCCATGGCTCAGCCCATAAGTCACCTTTTGACATGGAATCTTCAATGCTGAACACCCAAGCTACTCTGTTTGCCAACTTTACCCAAATATAAGGAACATAAACTAACAGTCTGGGAACGATTCTGCAAACATTCATACTCGGTATTTGAAGTTTTCTAAAATTATCACTGGTAATACGCATGAAACCGTAAACGGACCTGTGTATACTATGGTTTAAAGAATCTTTACTTTGAGGCTAATAAAAAATGTTTTATGAAATTATCAAAATAAGAACTTTTCTATTTAAGTAGAGCCACCTGAAATTATAACCAAAAGGTATTTTTCCAGTTTTTAAGTAATATCTGTCATTAAAAAAAAAGATACTGTAAACAAAAAACTTCATTAAGTTAAAACCAAATATTAATACATAAACAGGTATAAAAGGAAGTCTTAAAAAGACTAAATTTAGGTAAACTTAGTCAAGACAGCTTTTTTTTTAAAAAAATTAAATCTAGGAGAGTCTATAAGACCTTTATTTATATCATTTTCCACTAAAAAATTAATAAAGACAACAGCCATAAATAGTAGATGCATATGCTAAAACTTTCAAAATTATTATAACATTTGCTTTCTCAGTTTAAAAGAGGAAAATAACTTCAATTTTCTATGCTAAAGAGAGCTTTTTTGTTTGTTTGGGTTTGTTTTTTTTTTTGGGGGGGAGAGGTTTTAGCTATAGGGCACGTGCGCTCGCCAGACAGAGACAGAAAGCAAGAAATCACCCCCCAGGGGGGATGGTCACACCACAATCCCTTCTCCTCCGTTCTCCTCTCAGGATCTTGGGCACGCACGCACACACACCCGGTGTGAGTTTTAAGCCACCAGATCCGGGACGCGAACCGCGGTCGACTATGTGGGAGTTCAGCGACATAGCCATTACGCTAACTGCTGGTCCCTGTTTGTTTGTTTTTTTTTTTTTTTAAATCAGGTGAAAGCAAGAAGGCAGTCCCTTGCTATCACAAATTATGCAGTCAAGTTTCCCACATTTGGGAAAATTGCAGGGGTCAGCATATCTGGAAGAGAGATTTATTTTATGTAAGATAGATATACCCAAATACACATGTGTATATGCTCGTATGTATGTTTATATAGATATATATGTATATGTCTATAAAAACATATACAAAACACATACACACACATATAAATATAGGTATGTGAGTGTATATATATTTATATTTATATATCACAAAAGTGATAAAGATGACGAAACATAATGAGCTTGAAAATCAAAATAAGAAAATCTAGTGATCTAATGTTTAACTGGCCAAACTCCAGGGCTCATAATAATACCTTAGATTAGTGCTTTTATAGTTGAAAAGTCCTTCTCAAAAAATCATCTCAGCTTCTCTAAAATAATAGTAGCTAACCCTTATATAACATCCACTCTGCGGTAGGAACTGTTCTGAGTGAGTGACATACATCATACATGTATATACATTCTCACTGAATTTTTTTTTTGCTTGTATATTTTTTTAAATCACCAAAGGGCATGTGTACTTGCCAGACAGAGAGAGAGAGGGTAGGAGAAGAGAAGGTGAAAGCACTCCATAACAGGGTGCGGTCATGTTATCATCCCTTCTCCTCCATTCCTCTATCCTGTCAGTATTTGGGGCATGCGTGCACACAGGTGCCCAGTGTTTTTCAAGCCACCAGAGCTGGAATTCAAACCATGACAGGCCATGTAGATCCAGCTCCCTTACCCTGTAGGACATAAGACTGGCCCATTCCCACAGACCTCTTAAAATCACCCCATAAAATAGAAATCATATAGTTATTATCTTATTAAGATTCTTATTTTAAAGAGAAGGTGCCTAGGCAGAGGTTAAGTAATTTTGTGCCAATTACTTAAGCAGCAGAACCAAATGATAAATCTAGCAGTCTGACTGCAAAGCTCATATACTAACCACTATGTTCTCTTGTCTCTATAAATGAATGTCACTTAAGAAGAGTGATCCTGGAGCCAGAAGATAGCATAGTGGTTAAGGTGCTAGACTCCCACGTGGTCGACCCCAGTTCAAGTTCTAGACCCGGTGGCTTTAAACTCACACCAGGCCTTTATCGTGCAATCTTGAGAGGAGAAGGGATTGTGACCATCTCCCTAGGGTGAGATTTCTCACTTTCTGTCTCTCTGTCTCTGTCTCTCCCAGCAAATACATGTGTCCTATAGCAAAAAAAAAAAAAAAAAAAAAAAAAAAAAAGGAAACCTAAACAAAAGAAAAAAAAAAAAAAAA